TGAGAATAATAATAATAATATAAACTTTACTGGCCAATAAAACACTTATACTATAACCACAGATAACATAATATTACATATAACTATAATACACATTACAGCGAAGCACACACTAGACATGCAAGTCTGTATCGTGTGGTTCAGAGGATATCATTAGACAGAATTGATATGTTAGGTGCTCGGCTGACTTTAATGAAATAACTTAACAATATCATGCAACACTTAGTATAATGAGGTAATATTACAAAGGACAGGTATAAGGTAACAGGTATAAGGACAGGTATTGTTTAACTTAAAAAAACAACGTATGAAATTATTATTTTTGACTAAATGTTATATTTATTTACATAACCTAATTGTACAACTAAGAACCTAAAATTAAAAAGCTTAAAAAATATAATATATATGACTAAAATATATTATTAAAAGGGGTCCCTTTAGGCAACGTTCCGAAGATACTGGCAGCAGATATTACAAAAGTATATTTATAATAAATAAATATCTATAAATAATAATAAATATAAAATATATTAATACATACAATATATATACACTAATAGATTAATATTATTTATTTATAATCTAACTGAATGTTAAACATAAGCATAATAAATACGTTTATTAAAATATAAAATAAAAATAAACGTATTTATTATTCTGCGTTATTGACCCATATCGCGACACTTGTTTCGCCTCTGTACAAGGCATTATCAGGCGTTAATTAGAGTTCGGGTACAGCTCGGAAGCCTAGTGTTGACTCATCGGCGACCAAACCGCGACTCAACACTAGGCTTCCGAGCTGAAACACGTGTCGCGATATGGGTGTAGACTCAATAACGGTCGGAATTTGATCGCCACTGGAGAAGGTCGTAGCGCTGGTCAGGTTTCCACACCGAATATTCGTAGTCTCACACATGTTAATTGTAACGGAATTAAACAAAATAATATAAATCTATCGAGTAGTAAGTTTTATATGCTCATTCAGTAGGTCTAAGAATCGGCTATTATCTAATTTTCATACCCCTAAGTGATACGGGGTATCCGCGTTTTTATTTATATGGCAGAACGTTTACTGGGACAGCTAGTAATCTATACAAATAAATCAGTGTCAGTTTGTAATATTGAAATAACCGTTTTTTACTATATGCATATGAATATAAACATGATACATTCACCGAAATAACATTTTTTACAATTTTTGTCTGTCTGTCTGCCTGTTTGTTTGTTCCGGCTAATCTCTGAAATGGCTGTACCGATTTTGACTGGACTTTTTTTGGCAGGTAGCTGATGTAATAAGGAGTAACTTTACTTTTTTTCAGAAAAATAAAGTTTTATTCCACGGGGACGAAGTCGCGGGCACAGCTAGTAATATATATAGTACATACATACATGTGTATAGACATGATTATCCCCCACCCATCTTCATACAAAACGTGCTACTATTCAAAAATTCAAAATATCTTTATTCATGTAGGTCTATTACAGACTCTTATGATATGTCAAATCTACCGTCAGTTCGGAATGATATCGAGATGAGAAGAACTGACACGAAACTCGTGGAACATGTTTATAATAATACAGTCATTAAAATTCAAAATTGGGAGAATAGAGTGACCACCAGCATATGCATTGCGATACAAAGAACAAAAAATTTCATCTGTGTTCACAACCTGAACAGACCAGTCTTCACAAGCAGCACCCGTTCACGAGTATGACGTATGAGCCAGCCATCATTGCACTCGACCATATTTGAGGGAGCACATCGACCCGGCCCACCACGCCGCCACAAGTTTGAACTTTATAGCGAGCATGACTGTTTCAGGTTACTCCACTACGTCAATTATATTATTTACAGCATAGGCTGTATCGATCACAGTTTTCACACATTACAATATTAAATTTACATTATTTAATTTACAATATGTCATTACAAAATTTATAATAAGTTTCTTTAATGTGAAATGAAATGTTTATAACTGTATACTAGCTAATTAAACACAATAAAATTTTGTCCACAGAATAAGGCGACTAATACCAAAGATTTCACGCTGACCAGATTAATTAAGTCAGCTTAAATATAAGATAAATAATACTGAACATGTGACAGCTATACTTTCAATAGAAATTTTGACTTAAATATTTTCATTCATTACTCCATTATTAAAATAAATATATAGGTATTTTTTTCGTTATTCTGAAAATTCATTATAATTTGAATATCTTGGACATTTTTTAAATTTTTATACCGTCGCGGATTGTTCACACGAATGAGCTACATGTCCTTTTTTTGCTGGAAATAGAGTTTTTTATTTACGTGTAATTCTAAAAGATATTTGTTTAATAAAATTACGATAACAATACAATTTTTCTTTTCTCCAGCTTTTGCTCACTGGTGTTTTTATTTCTGTGTCTATCCTGTAATCAGTCGAAGACTATGAACAGATGTGGTATAGGATGTGGTAGAGTGTGATTCCCAGCAGAATCATCGTCTCTTTCGGTGATCCTGATTAATTATCCAAATTCCAGTAGCCTATGCCTTTTAAGCCGACGTTTTTAGAGACTATCAGTGGTTGTCCAGCACATTGGGATGGTTTACTAGCCGTGTCTTGTACTTGGAGTAGTGGTGTTTTATCTCTTCGGCTACTGTGTTTGTGTTGAACTCATGAACCTCAGATATTTTTGCAAACAATGGTGCATTCATAAGCTGTTTCAGGACGTTATTTTGAGCCCTTTGTATTATGCTTATGTTAGAATTTGCAGCAGAACCCCACAGTTGGATGCCATAGGTCCAAATAGGTTTCAATACAGAGATCTAGAGGAGAAGTTTGTTGTCAAGGGATAATTTTGAATTTCTTTCTAGCAACCAATACATTCCTTTGTTGTTTCTTTTTACTTGAATGTGCTTTCTCCAGGTCAGCCGGCCGTCCAGGTGCATTCCAACACACGCATTGACTGGACCACATACACGGTATTGAAATTTTATTTACCTTTTAATTCGGGAATAAAGTCATTGCGTCATCTCGGCGGAATAGCGGAATGCAGACTCATCACAAGAACATTAACATTATTTAAATTATTAACGTCGAGAGAGGTAAATACCTTTATTTGGCATAAAATTATTCGTGTTAAGACCCGGTTATTGATTTACTTATATTTAATTAACAACAAGGATTAGGCATGCGACAATTAACATAGAAATCGCTACGCACTTAATCTCTGTTCAATCAGCTAACATTGGCAGCGCTATGAATTTTAAGTTAGATATTTTCTACAAATATATATTTACAAAAATATATATAAATATAAGTATTTATATCAGTTGTCCAGTACCCATAACACAAGCTCTGCTTACCGTAGACCTAGAAGGCACTGTGTTAATTGTCCAGGGTTATTTTTTTTTATGTTATGTTATTTATGTATTTATAATTTGTTCTATTATATATTCTATTAGCTAGCTAAGAAACAACAAGATAACCTTCCCCGTCCAACGTCTAGTCAGAGCCCATCTTACTATTTGCCTTTGGGAATTCTGAAATATTCCGTAAGTAAATAGCCTAGTTTCAGAAGGCTTTATTACAAAATTTCCAGTTTCTAACCTTAACGGTTTAGGCAATATGTTGACAGGTATCTAAGTTGAGGCTAAATTGTACACAGACAGTAATAATAATAAGTGTGATATTAACGACTTAAACTAATGAAACAGTTTCATTCAGTTAACTATAGACCCGCCCCGGCTTTGTCTGTGTGGCTATAACTTTATGAGTTTATTATAACACTTTATTGCACCAACATATAAAGGACATGAACAAATTAAAAACAAAAAAAAAAAAAACTAAGTACAAAAGGCGGTCTTATCGCTAATGCAATCTCTTACAGACAACCTTTAAACCAAAGTTTAATACATTTGATAGTTTAGACCTGCATTAAATTTGGTATTAAAAATAAATAAATTGGTGACAAAAGAGTGAAAATTTAGAGTCGTATGCAATTTCTATTAATGCTTCATCATAAAAAAAATATAAATAAAACATATATAAACACCAAAAAATAAAAAAATAATCTTAGCAGTGGACGTTATCACTTAGGAATATAAAAAATGGATAATAGCCGATTCTCAGACCTACTGAATATGCATATTAAATGTCATAAAAATCGATCAAGCCATTTCGAAAATGTATGGTAACTAACCAATGTTAGTTACCATACATTTAATAATATAATACATAAAAATATACATACATAAAATTCTCGTGTTACAATTAACACGAGAATTTTATATATAAGATATGAACATAATATATAAATATATGTCATACAGTAATGTGCCTATCAAAGAGTGAAAACATTACTCAACTCGGTGCAATGATTCCTGAGTTTATTTTCGTCATAACAAAATTTATTCTCTCTGTCTACAATTGTACTAATATTATAAACACGAAACTTTATGAGTATAGATGGACAGATACATGGATGGATGTTTGTTACTCTTTCACGCAAAAACTACTGAACTGATTTTGATGAAACTTTAAAGTAATATAGTTTATACATCAGCATTACACATAGTCTGTAAATTTAATGTGAGTGATACCGATTTTATACGATACGAATTTAATGTGAGATATAACATTTTGGTAATAAATAAAGTTAATATAACTAGTCTTTTTTTAATAAATAACAAAATAACAAAATCTATATTAATCTTCATACCGTAGTTACAACACAAATACTTGTTTCCATACTTAATATCCAAACGAGATATTGTAATAAAAATATTAAAACTATAGAAAAAGAGGATAAGCTACTTTTATATATGCCTGCCATTTACTAGACAATTACTTAAACATATATCCATTACTTGCTATTTATTGCATAGGTCCACTATAATCTAAATAAAACAGTCAATGGTTATGCACCATTTCGTTTGAATTTTCGTTGAACATTTTCCTGGCAGCAACTCAGCTACAGGTATATAAGAGAATGCGAGAGAATATTCATTTTATAGTGGTTATATCTACGTGTGCTTAAAGGCAGTACATTTGTTACAATGTTTAAATTCCTCGTTTGTATTTGTTTGACGCTGATGGTGTTTTGTGAAGCGAAAAACATAGATAAACCTATAGAAAAGCCGGCTGGACAAGGTTAGTTTTTGGCTTGCAGTGTCCATGATAAAAGATTCTTTTTGAAACCAAAATCTCAGGTTAAAACTTATCTAAATTAAATCAGAACGAATTTTAGAGAACAGAGCAAGATTGCATTCAAAAGGCATATCTTTATCTGTGAATGAACAAAACATTTTTTAATTTTTATATATATTTATACTAGCTGTCCCGGCAAACGTTGTTTTGCCATATAAATTAAAATCGTTTTAAAAAATAAGGATTGATGCGAGTAGCTTAATGGAATATTACAAAAAAAAATTTTTGCTCCTAAAAATAAAAAATATAATGTTAGGAGTGGATAATCCTTATCACTTAGGGGTATGAAAAATAGATAATACCCGATTCTCGGACCTACTATTTCATAAAAATCGATCAAGACGTTTCGGAGGAGTATGGTAACTAAGCTTGTGACACGAGAATTTTATATATAAAATACGTTTATGCCACGCACAACCATATTGTGGAGTCAGCTTGCAGCAATGGTATTTCCGAGTGATACGATATTGAAATCTTCAATTGAGCTTATTCCTTTTTAAAAGCCCGACAACGCAGTTGCGATTTCCTTTGTCTTGCTGGTGCACATGGGTAGCTGTGATCACTTACGAGTGTCTCACCTGCAAGCCCATTTATCCCCATCATCATCATCAGTCAGTCCACTGCTGGACATAAGCCTCCCCCAATGATATCCACGATGATCGGTCCTGCGCTGCTCGCATCCATCGCCTTCCAGCGATCTTGACCAGATCGTCGGTCCACCTTGCTGGAGGTCTTCCCACGCTGCGTCTTCCGGTCCATGGTCGCCACTCGAGGACTTTATTGCCCCAACGGCCATCTATCCTACGAGCTATGTGCCCTGCCCATTTATATAAAAAAATCTGTTTATGTTGTATATATGTATCTTTTATTTTTATGGCTCTACAATTTATATTGTTATGCATTATAGGAAGCATTTAAAAAGATATATATTTATTATTATGTAAGTATATTTATTTCGTTTTTATGATGCCATATTTACCTTTGGTAGATAAATATTATACCTATAGGTTTACCTTTCCCAGCGCTAGAATCAACCCCTTCTGTTCTTAACCAAAGGTTAAATGTTAGAATCCAGTAATGACATTAGCTTCACATATTATATAATTTGATAATTGCAATTAAGGATAATTTAATGAGAAATAAATTGTTGTAGTTTTATTTTATACTAGCTGTGCCCGCGGCTTCACCCGCGTGAAATTTATAGCCTATATGTTATTCTGATTTATAAGCTATGTTATTGTAAAGTTTCATGAAAATCCGTTCAGTAGTTTTTGCGTGAAAGAGTAACAAACATCCAAACTCACAAACTTACGCGTTTATAATATTAATAAGATGTATATATATAGGTAAAAATAAATAAAGAAAAAGACTTAGAATACAGCGATACATTAGGAACGTCAAGACGTTGAAGTATACACAAAATGTACAATAAAATAACTATAAATTTATTTACAAATCATTACATAGTCGCTGTCGCTGTCTGTCCCTATTTATGCTTAAATCTTTAAAACTACGCAACGGACTTTGAAGCGGTTTTTTTTATAGAGTGATTCAAGAGGAAGGTTTATATGTATAATATATGTACACCCGTGCGAAGCTGGGGTGAGTAGCCAGTTTAGAATATAATAAAATACATTTCCGATTAGCCAGTACAGTGTACAACATAATGAATTATGAATCTGTGTAACTTCTTTTTTAAAACCACAGATTATGGCATAGATTCAAATATGTTTAATTGTCATAGAGCAATGTTTTCGTAAAATATAGTGGTAATTACTCTGTGATTATCGTAAGGGAAACTCCAGCAAACATTATATTGTTATATCGGTAATTTCATATAACATTTTCCTTGTTTTGCCAACGTACTTTCCTGTCTCATACTTAAGAAGTTATATGAGATACCTATATAAATATTCGATGATAGTAGCAAGTATACATGTATACTAGCTACTCGCCCCGGCTTCGCTCGGGTGTACATGTATTATACATACCTTCCTCTTGAATCACTCTAACCGTTTCACAATCCATTGCATAGTTTTAAATATTTAAGCATACATAGTGACGGACAGACAGCGACAGCAACTTTGTTTTATACTATGTAATGATGATATTCAAATGGTAAAATAGTTTAAAATTAAAAACTTGTAATTATAATTATTTATACATATTTTATATATATGTCTACAAGTACTATATAGTATTTGTATATGTATAAATATAAAAAAAAAGTCATAAATTAATAATTTTATGCATTAGAATAGTTCGGAAAAACGTTTCAAACATTTATTACTGAGTATGTTTTTTTTACGAAAAATAAAAAAAATCATTTCCGAATGTCTCTGAATTCTTTAGTCGGTACTCATAGTTCAAGCGGTTAACGGTTTTTTTAATCAATTACATATTTGTGCTTGAGAAAGTGGAGCTAAAGTTGTGTGTGAATGGGATTCAACACACAATAGTAAATATATGATTGTATGAACAGTTGTGGGGTATTTTTATTTTTATAATTTTGAAGGTAACAAGTAAAACAAGAATAAATAATAAACATGGAAGGCAGGTATGCGTGTTTATTCATGGGAATGATAACTCAATTGTATATTACTATTATTATCATCATTGCCTTGCCTTTATGCCATCATTTGGGGTCTGGTTTGGTGCAGCATGATTTCTTCAACTGATTCCACTAATAGAATCGTAGCATCTAAGCTTATTCTTCTTTTATACGTATCATCTTTCACTCAGTCTATAATAGAAATATTCCATAACGCTACTTTAAATTGTAATATTGGTCACCCTATTCTCCCAAGTTTGAATTTAAAAATTAATCTGCATTATTATAAACATGTATAATATTAATTTGAAAAGAATACGATCTGAATTTCTTGTCAGTTCTTCTCATCTCGAAATCATTCCGAACTGACGGTAGATTTGACATATCATAAGAGTCTGTAATAGACCTACATGAATAAAGATATTTTGAATTTGAATTTTAATTTTAATAAGGAGCATGATATTATTGACTATATGCGGGCTAGGAGTAACCTAACATTGAGGGTGACGCAGCTAGAGTCGAATCACAACGCGAGTTTCAAGGTGTTTGTGGCATATTGATAAATCTAATCCTCCTAATAAAGATGGGTGACACTGCATGTTGTCAACTCACCCGGCCGGCCAGCGGTGGTTCTGGGCCAGACGGATAAGGTCTGCCTCGGTGTCACTGTTAGGCAAATTTTAAAATCTCGGCTGGAGTGGTACAAAAGTGGAAATTAAATAAATATTATAATATTAAAGTAAATTAAAAAGGCACAGACGAATATGTCTGTGGAAAATTGTATTTAAAAATAAAAAAAAAGGTGTTTGTGGGCCGGGTCCCCACCAACTTGCTGCCCACCTTCATGAAGGGGGACTACTGGCCAAAGAGTGTGGTGTATCGGCCCTACCGTGGCGGATTGCCGTCATCGGAGCCGTGAATATGGAGACAATTATATATTAATGTTATAATATTCATTCATATGTATGTTAGTCTGTAAGATATTTATAATGTGGGTGATTAGTAGCCTGAAATAATAAATATATAAATGGAAAAACAAATTAATTTAATCTTAATTTTTCAGCAAAACAAGAAAGGTGTTACGTTAAAGAATTGAATACGGTACTACCATTCAATAAGACGTACACTCCACCAGATGGTCGTATATGTGCACAGTATATGTGCAACAAAAATGAGACCATATCTGTTAAAAAGTAAGTACTTTAATTAGAGAATAACAAACGTATTTTTTTATATATTAATGTATATTAATAACTACAATAATCTATCTATTTTTTTTATGAAACTGAAATGATAATGCTGACTAGCTAAAATAAATTTATTTTTTTCAAACTATTCTAATACTGTTATGGGTACTAGACAACTGATATAAATATATATATACATTTTTTGTATATACATAATATACATAGAAAACACTCAGAATAACCCATATAAACAATAATTCTAATACAAATGTCTCTACCGTGCTAGGAATCGAACCCGTGACCATCGGAAAATAAAGCGGCGTAGTCAACCACTAGACCCCTGAGACCGTCAAATACTTACGTACTTCTTAATAAATTACAGATGTGAAGTCATAGAACTAACTAAGGGCTGGGAGAAATTCGAGGGCGTGAAAACCGAGCCGTATCCAGCCTGCTGCGATTTCGCTTTATTCACTGGAGACGACTAATTAAATAAAACTTATTTATTATTAATTTAATCAATATTATTTTTTTATTCAACGTCCTTTCTGTAATTTACGCAGCGTCAAAATTGAGAAGAGATTAAGAAGAGATTGAAACAGGACTTCAATGTTTTCTTCTATCGACCTCGTATTCCTTATACAAATCGAGACTAAATATATATTTATATTTAGTTATATACATATAGAGTTCATCTTAAAGGTTATCTATAATACAATATTAGGATAGAGAATATCTCATGATGGGCTAACTGACCTGACCTCATGCTTATCTTATCAACCTCCTCTGGTGCTCTGCCATCGTAAACCGTGCGACATCGGTTTACGCTGGCAGGTATACCTGTGGCGAATTTACTATTATCGCGCGGCAACACCGTTGCCTATATGTTGGGCTAAAATGGACTTGTATCCAGAGCCGTAAAATATTAAATAAAAAATATAAAAAAAAGCTACGCCAAAACAATAAAATAAGACCGAATCACTTTCTTGTATATATATTTTGTAAATAGTTCATCAATATATACAATGTAAATAGCCATCACTGGACTCATTATTTCACATCCTCCTTTCCTGCTGCTGCTACAATACAAGGAACACACAATAAACATAAATAATAGTGGCTCCAAGGAGCCTATAAAAATATTTCCATTGATTGAGAAAGACCATTCTTTTGTTTTCTAGATGACGTAGTTTGCAAAATATTCAATGTAACTGTTAAAGCAAACGAGCGCTACTCTACTACAGATGGAAGCTGTGTGCAGTACATTTGCGATCAATTTGGCAGCTCACTCACAAGATTGTAAGTCTTTTCATCTATCGATCTTGTAGGATTACGTTTATTTATATTTATACTAGTGCATAATCGGACGAGATTACATGTTTGTTTTAGTATCTAAGAGTGCCACTAGATGGCGTTGTTTAGTTTTATACTTTCTTTCTACATCACGCTATTTATATTTTTTTTGAACACATATAGTCTTTTAATAATTATTAATTACATACCCCCTTTGATCGATCCCCCGTCCAATTCAAACGGGTATCGAAATTGCGACGGCCTGAGCCGAGGTTCGAACCCCTAGTGGTGCCCTCAGACTAAAGTCGTATCCGCCAGGCAGGAGTTGGCTTTCAGCCGCTCCATAAGTCCTTCCGCGGGTTTGGAGTGCCATCTGCACTCGCCCCCTAACGTCCGGTGAAGCTGTAATGGCCAGCTACGGCCAACTACATTAGAGTAGTCCGAAAAAAAAAATTATTACATAATATAACAACCACTGTGGAAATGTTTCTGTAGTTAAATTTATTTAACTACCCTAATCAAAGTACACCTTACACTTACACCAGTACCCGCCCCGGTTTCGCACAAGTGTAGATATGTATTATATGATGTATTATACATATAAAACTTCCTCCTGAATAACTCTATCTATTGCTAAAACTGCATTAAAAGACGAAAACATTAATGGACGTATCCTGTTTTGACTGCTATTTCTCACCCCTCAACCCGAAACAACTAACAACGTAAACTACTTGGTCGCTAAAATAAATGAAACAGAGGCATGTATATTTTTTTTTAATGTTTTTTTTTTTGACATGTCGATAGCACTGCTTTGTAATTCCAATAAAACCAAAGTCGAAATTTTAAAAAGTGTAAAATTTTAATCATCTTTCCCCCTCAAATTTTGTTAGACCAGCTGAACGCCTAATCCCGGGCAGTAACCTGCATTGATATACATATAAATAAAATTGGAGTGTCTGTTTGTAATATTGAAATAATTTTTATTACATTCATATGCGAATATAAATACGGTACATACACCGAAATAATATTTTTTACAATGTTTGTCTGTCTGTCTGTTTGTTCCCGCTAATCTCTGAAATGGTTGGACCGATTTTGACGGGACCAACCATTTCAGAGATTATCCGGAACAAACAGACAGACAAAACTTGTAAAAAATGTTATTTCGTTGCATGTACCGTATTTATATTCATATGCATGTATTAAAAAACGGTTATTTCGATATTACAAACAGACACTCCAATTTTATTTATATGTATAGATTTAGGTTGCCATTAAATAAGAATAAATATTATATTTACTGCCATAACTTTAATACCATGAAAATCTTTCAGATGTAACATTTACCTACCATCCAAAGGCTGGACTTACGTCGAAGGCGACCTGACCAAACCCTACCCAGACTGCTGCGGTAATATTGTAAAAACATCACTTCTGCCCCGTCCAGTGCATCACTGAAACATTATTAACTAATTAGAACAAAGAAGTAACAACAGATCTACTGTGGAGTCTAATCTCAATATAGATTGCGGTCCAATCCATTATTGTTTTTTTTAATCCTGCATAAACTACATAGCGCCATCTAGTCCCTAGCTAAACAGAGCTTGTGATATGGATATGGATGTGTATACTAGACAATTGATAGAAATATTCCAAATTTTTTTTGTAAATCCATACATAATATATGTATGTACCTGAAAAATATCCACACCAATACTACAATCATATTCATTAATACAAAAGGTAAACCTCTCTCGACGTTTCGACTAGGTTGTCTGTGGACTCTATCTGTGGACACCAGATGACTGAATTGACGGCGATGTCGATGTAGATAGGTGTTTAACATAGTTAGAAATGTAAGTAATATTAGTTCATCATCATCATCATCATCGCAGCCCGGAAGACGTCCACTGCTGGACATAGGCCTCCCCCAAAGATCTCCACGACGATCGGTCCTGCGCTGCTCGCATCCAATGCCTTCCCGCGATCTTGACCAGATCGTCGGTCCACCTTGCTGGAGGCCTTCCCACGCTGCGTCTTCCGGTCCGTGGTCGCCACTCGAGGACTTTACTGCCCCAACGGCCATCTGTCCTACGAGCTATGTGCCCTGCCCATTGCCACTTCAAAGTCGCAATTCTTCGGGCTATGTCGGTCACTCTGGTTCTTCTGCGGATCTCCTCATTTCTGATTCGATCACGCAGAGAAACTCCGAGCATAGCCCTCTCCATTGCCCTCTGAGTGACTCTGAGCTTATTGATGGGGCCCATAGTTAGCGACCACGTCTCTGTTCCGTAAGTCATCACTGGCAACACACATTGGTCGTAAACCTTCGTCTTGAGACACTGCGGAAATTTGGACGAAAAGATATATCGGAGCTTCCCGAACGCTGCCCATCCGAGTTGGATTCGACGATTGACCTCTTTCTCGAAATTGGATCTACCTAGCTGGATAGTTTGCCCTAAGTATACGTAGTGATCGACAATTTCGAGTGTAGAATCTCCGATTTTTACGGGAGCAGGTACGACATGGACGTTTGACATAATTTTCGTCTTGTCCATGTTCATTTTAAGACCTACTCCTTGTGAGACTCTACTGAGGTCTTCGAGCATTTTGCTAAGGTCTTCCAGGGTCTCAGCCATGACCACGATATCGTCGGCAAATCGAAGGTGATTGATGTACTCGCCGTTAATGTTGATGCCCAGCCCGCTCCAGTCCAGAAGCTTGAAGACATCTTCCAACGCAGCGGTAAACAGCTTTGGCGATATAACATCGCCTTGTCTGACACCTCGCTGCAGTTGGATAGGCTTCGAATTCTGGTCGTGGAGGCGAACTGACATAGTGGCGTTTTCATACAAACATTTCAACGCTTCGATATATCGATAGTCAATTTGGCACCGCTGGAGAGACTGTAGCACAGCCCACGTCTCGATCGAATCAAAGGCTTTTTCATAGTCCACAAACGCCAAGCAAAGTGGCAGGTTGTATTCTTCGGTCTTCTGAATTACCTGCCGCAGCGTATGAATGTGGTCTATGGTACTGAAGCCTTTTCGGAACCCGGCTTGTTCGGGAGGCTGGAAGTCGTCAAACCTGCGCGCGAGACGATTCGTGATGACTCTCGAAAACAACTTATAAACATGGCTCAGCAGTGTTACGGGTCTGAAATTCTTCAGAAGCGATTTGTCTCCCTTCTTGAAGAACAGAACCACCACACCCCTTTGCCATGCTTGAGGCGTTTTGCCCTCGAGGATGACGGAGTTGAATAGCTTCTGAAGGATTCGTAGAACAGGTCCAGCCCTCAGAAGCTCAGCAGTAACTCCATCATCGCCCGGCGCCTTGTTGTTTTTAAGTTGTTTAAGAGCCATACCAATCTCGTACAGGCTGACGTCCGGGATATCTTCTGTATAGTGTCGGGTTAATTTGGCTCTAGGGTCTTTCGCCGTGTTGTTAACAGGTGCCCGTGTTGTCGTGTATAACTGTCCATAGAACTTCTCAATTTCCCTCAAAAGTTCGGGTTTAGACGAAACGATCCTGCCGTCATCCGTCCTAAGTCGCGTCAGCTGGCTCTGTCCGGCAGCCAGATCCCTGTTAAAGACTTTTGAGCCCTTGTTTCTCTCAATAGCCTCCTTTACACAATTTGTGTTAAAGTGGCGTAAGTCACGAGTCAAGGACTTAGAGATCTGCCTGCTAAGTTGCCGATACTGAGAAGCGTCAGTCGGAGACTGCAGGACCATACTTCGCCTTTCATCCATCAATTTGAGGGTAGAGATAGATATTTTTCCGGTTCTTTCTGCGCGGCGGGTTTTGAAGTGCTTAGACCCAGCCGCACGGACAGTTTCCACGAACCTGTTGTTGTAATCGTCCACGTCAACGCAGTCACCAAGGCTTTCGAAACGGTTTTGCAATTCTAGCTGAAAGCTTTCGGGGTTTTGGATCTGTATAGGTGTAGGGCGGAGCGTAGATTTCATCAGTCGGGATCGTTCGAGTTTCAGATTCAGATTCAATGTGCCTCTTACAATCCGGTGATCACTTCCAATTTTGACGGCATTGATCACAGAGACATCATTGAAAATCTGTCTTCTCGTTGACAAGATGAAATCTATCTCGTTTTTTGTGGCACCATCGGGACTAATCCACGTCCATTTCCGGTGTTCCGGCTTCCTGAAGAAGGAGTTCATCATAAAGAGGTTCTCCTTCTCCATGAAGTCGGCCAGCATTTGACCTCGGAAGTTCCGATCACCGATACCAAATTGCCCCACTCTCAGCTCATCACCGCTTCGTTTGCCCAATTTTGCGTTAAAGTCCCCCATGATAACGCTATAATGAGTCTTTGTACTATGTATGGCTCTGGAGATATCCTCATACATAGCCTCAACCTCATCGTCGGAGTGCGTCGAAGTTGGAGCGTACACTTGGATGACCTTCAATGAATACCGTTTGGTAATTCTGAGTATCAGGTACGCTACCCTATTCGACACGCTCTCGACCTTGATAACATTATTCACAAGGGACCTGTGGACGAGGAACCCGACACCGCCTTGGGACAGTTGATCGCCCTCCCGGAAGTAAAGCAGATTGCCCGATTTCAGGACTATCGAGTCCTCCCCCTTTCTTCGGACTTCAGATAATCCCACGACATGCCAGTGCAATCTGCTCAACTCTTCCTCCAGTTCAATTAACTTTTCGTCGGTCCGCAGTGTTTGAACGTTGTATGTTGCCAGGGCCAGTGGCAACATACTATATTAGTTCACTCCGTGCAAACTAGATGGCGCCACAGGTAAATGTAAATGGCGCTATTAAGATATTTTTGGTTTTTATGACTTATAGTGTTTTTTTTTCCTAATAAGATCCCATCATCCCTATTGAATAATAGTTTCAATTGGAACCCTCAGTATCAACTTTTTGACCTCACGGTACCTATTGTTCATGAGTCTTCTTCGAGCCGAACGTGTTAACCAAGTTCAAGGTACTAGTTCAACTCCTTAAGTCGCAGTGGATTGCTGTGGAAAGGAGTTCCCTTGACTCAAGTGCAGCAAGTAGTACGAGCAGTACCTATTTGTTCAATAGGTTTTTCCTTCTTATGTTACTATTATCATATATTATGTTATCTGTGCTATTATTGACAATGCCTTTGATTACCCTAGTCTTGATACAAATTTTAATAGTATATGTTAGTATTACCACAGATAATGTATGGTATTACTCAAGAAGGGACATGATGCAACAATATATAGTATGTAAACTAGGCATTTTCCGCGCCATCCCTGGCGGGGAAAATAGTCCTGAATAGTCCAGAATAGTCCCCCGTGTAAATTCAAATATGAAATCATTTATTCATAGAGGACATTTTTAACCATTTATATGCTTCCATATTTTTACCTTATCGTCTAGACCAGCAAGCAATTTCAATAGAGAAAAACTGGAAACTTGTCTGTTGCTCTTTTATATCAGTCTTCTAAATATATTTTATTTGTTTAACTATTATTACACGCATTCATTAATGTGAAGTAATATATTTAATACAAAAAAAAGCCAGACAAAAGAAGAGGTCCTCTGATTTAATATAGTATACTAACTGTACCGGCAAACTTTGTTTTGCCTTAAAACAAAAAAAAATTTAGGGGTGGACTACCCCTAACATTTAGGGGGATGAAAAATAGATGTTGGCCGATTCTCAGACCTACTCAATACGCTCACAAAATTTCATGAGAATCGGTCAAGCCGTTTCGGAGGAGTATGGGAACGAAAACTGTGACACGAGAATTTTATATATAAGATTACATCAGTTTCTAAAATATAAGTGTTCATATGTTAAAAACTATTTGTACCTGTAATTTCCTGTTGATGTAAATCCTTGTCCTTACTAATATTATAAATGCGAAAGTAACTCTATCTGTTTGTCTGCCTGTCTCGCTTTCACGTCAAAACTACTGAACCGATTTAAAGGAAATTTGGTACACAGATAGTCTAGATCGTGACAATGAACACCGACTATTTTTTAATGCGAATAAAGGTTATAAGGGGTTGTTAGGAGAGATGAAAGGTTATATGGAAGTATCGTCATTTTACGCGGTCGAAGTCACGGGCACAGCTAGTTGTAGTATGTACATCTAGTCTTTGGAATAATTAATCTCTGTTATTTATAACGTACCCTGTGCGTTTTATAGAAGTTGTATTATAAAATGGCGTGAACGGCCAAATGAAATCTTAGCATTTTATCTAAATTAATATTTAAATACAGTGCAATAATATTATATATAAAAATTATTGTGACGAAAACATTTGATAGTAATGTAAACTCTACCTTGATCTCATTTATTTGACCCAATGCCTTATCAAGGCAACTATTGATAAACTTGTGTACTTTTTTAACTTTATTATTATTGTTATAATAATACATGAAAAAATGAAATATGAATTATTCATAGACATCCATTTTGAGTTTGCATGGTAGCAATTATTGTATGCATCTGTATTTTTTTTTAATAAATTGCAGTCCACAGATTGCCACTCGATTACCTTCTTTCTTTACTAGGTATCGATTATATTATTAACTAGAATTAAATTCTGTACTGTTATTAAATTTCCACAGGTAAAATAATTTAACGCAACAATGTAAAATTATGTCAGTTATGCCGTCATTCAAATTCAAATTCAAATTCAAATTCAAAAATCATTTATTCATTGCGGACATTTAAGCCGCTTAGGAATGTAAATTTTTTTTTTGTTTTTTTTTAAATATTTTTTCCCTACCGTCCAGTTCAGTATGGAGATGTCATATTGCTGAAGGAATTAGAACTAAAACATCATACAATATGTTGTTAAGTAGGGTTAGAGAAAGCAGACAAAAGGGAAGAATAATACACTTTGTAAATACATTTATTATTCCATAAAAAATTTTATTTACTATAATTATTTTATAATTATTTACATGTATACACACGTACGAACTTGCAGACATTACTAGTGTAGAATTCTTGCGTCTTCCATTATACGGAACTTCATTAGCTGACTGTGGCCTAGCGGTTTCGCGAGTCGCGAGTTCGACTCCTCGCACGGTACAAACATTCGTTCTATTGGGTTATTTCTATGTATATTAATTACAAAATAAATGTATCTAGGTATTTCTACCAGTTGTCTACTACCCGTAACATAAGCACTGCTTAGCATGGGTGGCATCATCTAACAACAATTTGTTTCTGCTATACATACTATCCAGTAGTGTTTTGCTGTGGCCAGACAACACAGAGAGATCTTCAAGTCTTTGCTTTATATGCTCAATGTATCTCCAAACACTATTAAGAATAATATTAAAACGAAGATGTATCTTATATAAAAATATTGTTATAATAATAATAATAATAATCATCTCAGGACAATTTACACAGCGCCATCTATACCCAAGTTAAGCTACATAAAACTTGTATTATGGGTAGTAGGTAACTGATACATATACATAGATGTTTTTTTTGTAAATACATACATATTATACTTATATTATAAACACCCAGACCGATACAAACAATAATACTCATGAATACAAATGTATGTGACGTGCGAGGAATCGAACCCGACCATCGGTCGTAAAGCGGTGTGATTGACCGCTTGACCACCGAGGTCGTCAAATTATGGCAATGCGTGATGTAACTGATGGTTAAGATTTTATGTTTAAGGTTAGCTTATCAAATATTGAGATTTAAATGATAATGTATCTCAATAATAGTAATAAATAAAAAAAACCTATCTGTGGCGGTCTAGAAACGTACAGACGTACAAAGTTGCTGACACCACTAGTTTATTACATTTCCTAGCATCCAAATAATTATTGATCTACATTGTATCAAGAACGTCTACATTATTAGGTTATTTGATATACGTTTAAACGTCTAAACATATCATATAACCTAATTACACAATAACAAATAAAATATAATTCTCAGTAACAATCTAATACAATTTTGCGTTATTTGTATAAGAAATAACGAATATAAACTATGAATAAAAGGTTTTCAACAGCGTAAATACGTCTGTCAGATAATTATTACATTTAAATCGTAGGATAAAGTTTTTCTTCATGTCATATCAAAATGAATCGCGACAATTAATAACTGAAACTTATAAAAACTAATACTTAACAAAAAGAACCGAGGTCTACCGATCGATCCCCCGTCCAAATTAAGCGAGACTTTAGTCTAAGGGCCGCTAGGGGTTCGAACCTTGGCTCAGGCCGTCGTAATTTCGATCCCCGTATGATTGATCGAAAAAGTGACCTAAGACGCTGTATGGTGTTGTTGAGGTCATCGTCTTCGACGGCGAGGACGGTGTTGTTTCAAGTGATATTTTATGGTACCGTTTATGTATATAGGCGACACTTGCCACATATGATAAGCTTCATTTCTCATTCTACGCACATAAAAACATCTACGTACGAAATACCGAATAAATAAAATAAAAATACAGTATAATTAATTTAATAATATAATAAAAATCAACAATTTGGTGGCAAGATAGCTTCTAGAACAAAAATATCAAAATTATGATAACTCTTACTTAAGGAACTCTAACATATAAATACAGATAAGAGCATCTAAATATTTTAGTAATAAATAAAAAAATATAATCCAATAAACTTATTGGATATTAATTAATATTACTAAAGTCTTAAATTGTGCAAACTTTATAATAAGAAGATCTTGACTTTTATAAAAAAAATCTGTGAAAAATGTGACAAAATTTGTTTTTGTTCAAAATATATTTATTACACATCAATTTTATGAATAAAGACAGTGATTAACTTCATATATATACATTTAAAAAAGGTCCTATATTACATTTTCATAGAAAATACATTTTCAATTTCACAAATACAATCTACTTAAAATTCTATTAAAAATTATCATATGTAGTAATCTATGATATATCATTTATATGCCTAAAGGAATTTTATTCGAATCTGTCGAGCAATGAAAGAATAACAAACATACATCCTTACAAACATTCTTGAATATTAGTAATTTGGATAACATCTCAGTTATTATACATTTATTTATAAACTACATTAATTTGTTATTTTTACGAACTCATCTTGTTAACAGTACAGTATTTTGTTCTCAATTACTGCCAATTATGCTGATATATTCTAATTACATTCTCAAATAAGACGTTCAAAGATTTTGTCCCTTTACATTCAATTTTACGTTTAATTTCCTTAAAACTCTACAGTATCTTAACATAATACATGTACTTAATGCCAGCTGTAAGCAATTTAATTACAGTTAAATAAGCTTACACAAAACGATCATACGAATTTATTCCTGTATATGTTCAGTGGTATTTAGTAGATATATTTATTTGTTTGTTCCTTATTGCACAATTAAAAATAAATGTACAATTGGCGAGCTTAATGCCGTATGGCATTCTCTACTAGCTTGCCATTGGGTAAAAATAGAAAGCGGTTGAAGGGCAGTAATGGGAAAAGACATACTTTTGGTATTTACCTCACTTAGGTAAATATGTCAATACTAATATGTGATATATGATATGATGTATGTGATATGTGTACTATGATATATTATCCAAAATAATACTCGGTCACTCAACAAAATCCTTAAGGGCTTATTTTTACGAACCTTGTTGAGTTACCGGATAGTATTTGATCAAACTGAGCAACGGCCTTTTTGTTGAGTGCCCGGATAAACTTTGCTGCTTGGGCAAAAACCCACTGAGTTACGGCCTTTTTGCTGAGTGCCCGGATAAACTTTGCTTGATACTTTTTGCACTGCTACAGCACACAATTCAGTAACATATGACATTTGTAGCGTACAGTTTGTTTGGTCATTATTGTTACTGTTTATTGTTTTTGTATTTATTTCCTATTGTGTGTGCTGAATATTTTGGATAGCAAAGTTCAAATCTCAGTGAATGAAGTAATCACAAGAATAAAGAAACGGCAATAAATCAGAACTATATTATATTTATATATATAATCATCACCTTAACAGTTTCCCGCTACTGGGCACAAAACAGGAGATCTAAAAAGAGTTTTATCCCAAAGATAAATCACCACTAACAAATAAACTTATTTCATGTTACATCTACTGGTTCACTTTTTAAATCAATTCTAATCTATCAACTTTGGAATTATAATTGAATTTCAAATTTGCGATATCAAACTTTTATATTTACACATAATAGTAAATAATGGGACATTACCGCATTTTAATCCAATTTCGATTTTCCGATATTTCGATAATGTTGCAATTAGAACCGCGAGATTAAATCGCTTAGCCGTAGAAGCCTATTTAAATTGGTGGTTAATATAAATCGAATCTTAATATACTGTATTTACAGTTCACATTAACATAATTACATCTAAACACTATCTATTGATAGATATTGATTCAAAAGTGAATATGTAGATTCAATTAAGATCGGTATTTTTAATGTATTTTCTAACCTAAACAAATAAATTAGACATTATCTACCATAGGCATGATGACAGTACAAATAATAAAGTATTGGCTTAAAGTATTAAAATTGATCAAAATTACGTAAATTATTAAGTATAATCAATATTTATTATTTTTATTAACTCAAGTTTACAACAACTAATCTCAAATTTACAATTATTTTGTCATATAAAACAGCATATATAGTTCTCTGTCAAAGTTTCAACCACAGACTATGTTGTTTACATACTGTCTTTGACATTGAATATATGTCATAGAAGCGATGACATGAACTTGACACCTGAGAGCATTTTTATACGAAGTTTGAATTTCAAATTTAGAATGAATATATAAATTTCGTTAAAATTTTATATTTAGAATGCCAAATATTGTTTTAAAACGTTATTTTAAAAATATAATGAAAATTATTGTATTTCATATTTAGAATGTGAATTTATATTACATTTTAATAGAAACGAATGAGTTATCATTCAAAGAGTTTATCAATCAGTCATCATGCCATTAGGACACTTAACGATTTAAAAATTCATTCATTCTCACATATAATTTAGACTAGTAACGAATTCGCAATTAATTCAGTCTAAGAATCGTTCTAGATCTAAAACTTTATTACGACATAAATCTTCATAAACCACTTCTTTTATACATATTTAAAAGATACCAAAATAAAAAAAAGTTTTCAATTAAACCCTGTTTTTTTACTATTATCAATTGCTATTATTATTTTTTAATGATTAAATTCAAAAGGTTACTTTTTAAAGATAATATTATATACAGTCCTGTACCAATATTTTATTGAAATTATAATTTATTATCTACCATTGGAGCTTACTGGTCTGAACTAGTCTAGAACAAGTCGGTGGGTAGGTAGACTCTCATAGAATTAAAAAGGATTATACTCCAAAACTGACAATGTCTACCTATCAAAATAGATTTAATTTAAAAGATCCATTAAGAATTTATTATATATACGCTAAATTATATCAATTATAACATATATTATATTGTTCTATATACATTGAGGCATTTTACTTTTCTGCAGCTTTTTTTGTTTAAGATTTCAGTTTTTTTATTACTTATTAATGAAAAAAGTTCTTTATTTTATTGTCTTAAATCTGTTCATAGAAACTTGTTTTGTTTTCTATTATAATAAGGAGTGAACTAGTCACCCACAATAGACAGCCTAGTGTGAGGACTAGAGCACTGCCAAAACCTGTATGCACTCTGACTAAATTAATATTACGAATTATTTTAACTTTGTATAAACTTTATACATGTACTTACATTTATATGCAAAAATAGAGATAATTTATTACAATTAATTATATATTGTAATACATGTTATATTTAATATAATTTTATGTACATGTTACATTGTATAATAAGAAACATACAGAGAATTGTAACAGTCATAACGTATGTTACAACTAATAATCATAATTTTAGTATTGCCATCTTTAATAAATAACAACCAAAATTCTAGATGCTCTTAAATGTTACCTTAGACAATTTATATTAAATTATTATCAATATCACACTTGACTGTCGGACAGCAGTCAGGATATGGTCTGCTGAGGTCTGTATCGGTCACGTAACAGTTAGGATCCTCTGTACCGATTAGTGCACATCTATAAATAAAAAAAAAATAGTTAATAAAAAAAAATATACCTGGTATTCTTAAATGTCTATGGACACTGTATGGAACTTTACATGTTTCATCATTGTAGATGGATGAATGGGAAAAAAATGTCTATGGACTTTATTCATGACAATCATGGATGTCCAATGCGAGATGTCCCACCTCTCTTTGAGAACCCTCTCATGTTAGGAGGAAAAATAATAATAGGTAATGACTAAATACAATGCACATAGCACCATCTAGTCTAGTAGAGCTAGACTAGCTAAGTAGAGCTTGTGTTATGGGTACTAGATGACTGATATAAATACATAGATACATTTGTATTGTATTAAATGCATACATAAAAAGCACCAAGACCGATAGAAATAACCAAACTCTTAAATTTATTATGAATGAACAAAACATTCAACTTACGTAGCGTAGTGTATTAAAGCTTTCCCACACTGTATCCTGACACATTCTCCAATGGGGGTGAGCTGAGCACCGAAAGGTATAACATCGTTGATCTGCTTTATATAGCAGCCCTCTTTGTCAACTGCAAGGAAGAGACATTACAAATTATTTAATATACATATTTAACATATTGCTAATTGAAATATATAAATGTTTAACTATAATAAAAATCTATATATACTACGGGAAGCAAGAACTTTGTACCCCTTTTTACGAAATTTCGAATACTTAGAGTTTTTATATATAGAAAAGTAGTGCAGATTTATTCTTATAAAGTACATTAAAAAAACTTTTGTTTCTTGTTAAAGTATATGATCAATCAAACTGAGTAGAGATTAACATTGTTTGTCCTTAATACTAAATTTAACTGTTAAATGAATTTTGGTCGAATATCGACCATTGGTCGATCACTAGTTAAATTATTTAAAAATCTATGTAACGCATCATGTAATATTCACATAAAAAGATGAATATTTGATTATTAGTTGATTAATTGATAAATAAAAAATCAATTGACCAATTTAATACTTTCACCTACAGAAAGCAACATTATCAGTTAATAACTTAGGCTATATTTTATTTATAAAAACAATTGAAATTCCTATATCAAATCAAATCAAATGCATATATTCTATGTTTTATTACTATCACAAATACATAAATTGCTATTTTATACATACATAATTAATGTGTTTTCCTATTTGTGTATATTTATAAGTGTTTTATTATTTAAAATTAGAACAATATCATAAAACCTTTTTGTTTACAGAGCTAAGTTATTTGTTATTTCCGTATGAACATCATGAATAGTTTTTTTTAGTATACATTTTATTTACAAAAGTATTTCCGTGTAAGAATAGCTATATATTCATCCATCCATCCATAACCGCAAACTTTCGCGTTTATAATATTACGTTTTTTTTTTCGGACTACTCTAATGCTGTTGGCCGCAACTGGCCTTTACAGCTTCACCGGACGTTAGAGGGCGAGTGCATATAGCACTCCAAACCCGCGGAAGGACTTATGGAGCGGCTGAAGGCCAACTACTGCCTGACGGACACGACTTTAGTCTGAGGACACCACTAGGGGTTCGAACCTCGGCTCAGGCCGTCGTAATTTCGATCCCCGTTTGATTTGGACGGGGGATCGATCGGAGGGGATAATATTAGTAAGACTCTCTATGATACTATATAGCTATGCTATACATTCATAATTATATGTAAGTATTGCCTCAGTTATATGTAGTTATGTATATTATTATTATATTATATTACTTACATCCGTGTATAATTATTATTATTTTATTATTTTGAATTACAACAATGTCATAAAACCATTTTGTAAACAAAGCTAACATATTTATTATTTCCGCAAGCTACAGATATCATCAATAGTTTTTTTTTAATAAATAACACTTAGTTAGTGTTATATATTGTTTAATAAACTAGCCCTTTAAAACCCTACCCTCCAGCTTCACACGGGTGTACATATAAACCTTCCTTTTGAATCACTCTATCTATTACTAAAAACTGCATTGAAATTCGTTGTATAGTTTAAAAGAAAATGTATAGTACGTAAACTTCATTTTATCCTATGTAAATATGATTGCTAGATGTTTTCTATTTGTACCTAAGCACATATTTACTGCAACATTTAATTTTACCACCTTGTTCTCTGGTTCAAACTACCTACATATAATTTGTTATTTTTTATTTTTATTTTTTATGATGTAGATAATGATCACTGTTTGTTCTTTGGGTGTGTCCTGTTACGTAGATAAAGTACTATTGTTTTTCCTCGCAATAAAATCAAATATAAAAGTTAATCCTTTTAAATTTTAAGTTTCACAATTTATTAAAAAAATCCTTAGAATAATTACATATCGATCTCTGATATATTGCTTTGCATAATTATATGTGAGTATTGCCTCAGTTACATATATTTACGTATATTTACATCCGTGTATGAGAGTTCGCGTTTTATTATTTCAAATTACAACACTGTAATAAAACCATTTTGTTTACAATGCTAAATTGTTTATTATTTCCGTATGCCACAGATAATCAATTGGTTATTTAAACTATCCGTGGTTTCAGAGACCTTCAAAGTAATCATACTCAATAAGCTCGGATAACACTATAAATCCTTGGCCGTATTTTTTATGCCAATCCATATGTAATGTAAGTGTCAATTAATTAAATTTTATTGACATTGAACGCATTGTAACTGGCAACCAGTTGTTTTGGGAATACACCTAATAATAATGATATGCCTTAAACAATTTTTTTTTAATTTATTTACAAATAAATTTATACAAAATAAAATATAAACAAGCCGCAAAACTGCTCAGCAGCTTGTCTGCAGCTGAAGCGCTTAACTTAATACTTATTTCTAATTTATGTATATATACTCACATATACATATATTAACTTAAATACATTACTGTAGAACCAGGTAGGTGTAATATTTGTTTACAAAATAGTTTAATAATTTCTTTCTTATGTATATAAAATAATAATACAATATATAATATAATACATATGTATTTATTTATTAATTTAGCATTCCCTCCAGAGGGACACATTAAACAATTAAAACTCTAGCCGTATCAAATCGCAGCTGAAGTAGTTAATACCATCATTAAAAAATGAGATAATAAACACAATAAGAGAAGCAAGTAATTTAAATAAAAAAAAAAGATCAATATTGATAGATGGAGTAATTAGAATCATTATGAACGTTTTAAACTTTTTTTACAGTTGTTTATCTTAACATAGTATAAAATGAAATCACTTCCGCTGCCTGTTCACTTAACAGACTTCAATTTATCATAATCTTTTAAACTACACAACGGATTTTAATGCAGTTTTTTAGCAGTAGTTAGAGTGATTGAAGAGGAAGGTTTATACAAGTACATCCGTGCGAAGCCGGGTCGAGTAGCTAGTGTTATATAAAAAATAAGATTCGAGATTACATAAACATTAAGAAAGCAGGCGATTATATAAAAATTAAGATTCGAAAGGTTAAGATTAGGAGTTGATCGTGATCAGGACGTTTGTAACAGAGCAGCGTCGAAATATCGGGAGCTCATTAATAATATTTGGCTGGGTATATTTGATATTCGAATTAAAATTAACCGAAAACCAACCTGCAGCTGTCTCTTGGACTAATTTGATTAGTGCGTCCACAAATAACGATAAAAAAGTTAAAATACAAAAAGTTTTGAAGACTCGAACTCACGACTTATGCGTTAAGTATGGTAATAAACCACTACACCACGACGGTTCTCATTTACCTGCACGTAAGCAAATACAAAAGAAATGTAAACACTGAATCTTGTATTGAACATTTAACATTGTGGGGTCAAGATCATTAAAAGAACAAGGCTGTTAGTTGCTAAAGTAAAAATACAAACATACATCCAAAATAGAATACCTTCATTCCTTTATTATGACTTGTAATTTGCTTAAATTTAAAAAATGAAATATAAACGAAATACATAAAAATTACTTTCTACGTAACGACAACTGATATAAATACTTAGATACATTTTTAGTAAATACATAATATACATAGGAAACATGACACGGTATGTTGTTGCTATTCTTGAGGACTAAGATGTCACATTTCAAACTGAAACTACAGATTACAAAGCAAATTTCTTGGCCACAGAACTTATAGGCAGGACTGGATTAAGAAGAGACATTAGGCAGAATAGGTAACTATCTAGGGCACTCTGGGACAGGACCCCAGACTAGCGATCATGCATCGACCAGGGAACCGTATAAAATAAATTGAAAATGTTTTACGGATTGAAAATTTAATTAAATTTTGTACTCTCTATGATAATATGTCTTCATTATGGCTTATTTTATGTATTCTATGAAATACTTCGAGATAAAACAAACTAACAAACATGGAGTATTAAGTAGTGGAATCAATAATATAGGAAACGTATTTTTAAGGTAGCGTATTTTACGTTAAGAAAACTTCTGACTCTTACTCACATCCTTTCATCAAGTATAAAAGTGTTTTCAAAAGGTTGAATTGCCCTTTTTTAAATAATATTCTGTATTTTATCAAAAGTATATAGAAATAGCAAGAAATCTAAATCTTTTTTAACACTGTTATCCCGAGAATTGTCTTGCCTATATTGGATGGTCAGGCCTGATGGTCGAAGGTGTCTTCATAGACAAGACAGTGCCATCGGGGTTCCGGAAGACTGCCCGTGCACTCTCACAACATTCAGAAGGTGAAGAGAAGGAACTTGGGGTTTTTAGCCGGCAAAAGTTCGCTAGTGCCCTTTTACTACTCTCTCTTCATGAGGATTTTTGCAATCCATGAGTTATGATTACCCCAAGTTAAAAAATAATAACCTGACATGATAAGTCCGGCTCTGCTAATAGGTAAGACAGAGGTACGCATACAACATTTCCTTATTATCAAGAACCTATTAAGTATAATAATTGAATAATATCAATAATAGATGGCCTATAATTTATAATACAGGAGCGTCAACATGTTTACGTCAAAGTCTGCCAGATTAACATTAAATAGTGCAGTTTTTATACCGGATTTATTTAAATTATGACCATTACATATAAATTGGTATTTAAATTCAATAATTTGCGTCACAAACGAGTCCCGAGAAGCAAACAGTCAAGTTATTTGATGGCATCTAATAATTTTTCGCAAATTCTAATGATGGGTTAACAGCCTGAGTTAATAGAATAAAATTATATATTTCCTTATTTTTTATACCAAAATATAATAGAAATCGTTTATTCAAATAAACTTACATTGAAGTACTTTTGAATAGTCATCACATTTTTTCAATCTACCGCTCATTCGGAAAGCTGTCTTATCACAAGAAGAATGAGCATGAAACTTGCGGGTTGCGCTTTTAAATAATGTTGTTGCTTTACATTTTTAAGTTGAAGTGTGAATACAAACTATGAACTAGCACTAGTTCAATTAAATACTCAAATAGGGAAAATATTAAATATACAAACAACTGGTTAAGTGAATCAGTCGTAGTGATTAGAGCAGACCAGTCCCTACGGGCAGCACTCGTTCATGAGTATGACGTATGAGCCAGTCATCACTGCGCTCGACCATATTTTAGGGACCCCATAACCCGCCCCACCACGCCGCGCCACATGTCTGGACATTTTAGTGAGCATGACTACTCAAGAAACTTGACCACGTTATAACGAAATAATAAATATGTACGTGTAATATTGTAAGATGTATATATAATTATTTAACTATCCTTGAACTATATGTTACATAGTAAACACACAATTGTTTGGGCTATATGTATGACTTTAATTAACTTCTGCATATGATAAAGGACTGTAATGCCGATAACATTTGACACCCTGACGTAATGTAATATTTTAATATCTAATTTCTATTATAGTTTAATTGTATGAATTCTGTTATAGCAACAATAAATTAAGTTCTAAATATCATATTAGTAAATTAAGACAATATTTGAGTTTATATTTTTTTACGTCATATGTTCCTTATTCTGAAAACATAAATAATGAAATATGTTTTCTTCATATTTAAACATGTTTTGACGTGGAGAAAGATATATCAAAAGACAAAGTATGAAACAAAAAAAATTAATGAAAAGAAAGAAGAGACTCCAATTAAAGTACAAGTTATATAATAATATGTTTCCGATTACATTAACAGTACATTAAAAAAAACTCACAAAGGATGGAAGAAGGACAATGAAAGTGAGAGTATTCTCTCTAACTTCCCCTAAGTTTAAAAAAAAAAAAATACTTCTTTTCGATATTGAAAAACAAAACAGAAAAATAATTCTCAAAAAAAAGACAACACACCAAAGAAAGTAGATTTTTTTTAATAACTTAGAGATCAATATTGCAAAAGAAAAGGAACAAACCAAAACTAAAGAAATGTACTCCAGGAATTCAGAAGTATAAAGTTAATATATGTTAAGTAAATATACATTTCTGAATTAATATTAAGATAAACGAAAACTATTAATATTCAATAAGAGATATTGCACGTAAAACCCCAGTATATCCGTTAAGTTACAAAATTAAGAACGCCAGTATTTTATGGATGTTGTGACCTAGAAATTTTCTTTACGACTACAATATAAATTCACAAGGGTTCTACATATATATCCCCAAAAGTGAGCTGTAGAGAAATATACTCGTATAGGTAATATGTGTTTTTTTTATTCTTTATTGCACTATAAAGAGTGTACAAGAGGCATGTTATGATTATTATTTCTACAAATGTATATATTATTATTATTAATAAAATTAAATAATACTTTGAAATATTATTACATCTACATTTACAGACATTAACACTTTGTTATGACATTATTATTTATTCCGTTTATAGTATACTAGATGGCGCTGTGTAAATTGTCTTTCCTTGTATCTATATTATTTATAAAAAAAGATCTGTAAGCGTTTTTATCAGTTGTCATATGTACCCATAACACAAGCTCTAATTAGATTATTTTGTGACAATTGTAGAAAGCGCATCAAAATAGAGGTCACGAAACATTTTAATTCATTGAATAAATTTAATATGATCTCTACTAATTTAATTCATATATTAGTGCTATTAACCTAAAACTAAAAACCTTAAATAATATAATATAATACTAGAAACTAATATATATGAATAAACATATATAATTATTAAACAAATATCTATTAAAATTTAACTAATACGTAAAATAATATTCTTAATAATTTGTATTTATTATATAATGATATTTATTATATATTTTAGAGTACGGTTATAGGTTAGTTACAAATAAATTGTAATTTACATTATTGAATTAATTAATACACGTGTTAGGACGCAATGACTTGTGTAATATTCCATTATATTCGTATTAAAATATTTAAATAATCATTTTAAAAGAAATCCTACTAATATTATAAACACGAAAGTTTGTGAGTATGGAAATATATGTAGATGGATGGATGCATTACTCTTTCACGCAAAAACTACTGAACGGATTTTGATGAAACTGATAATGAATTATATAGTTTATATATCAGAATAACACATAGACTATAAATCTCATGCGGATGAAACAGCGGGCAAAGCTCGTATGATGTAAATCTAACAAACAAACAATTATAATGGGGATGAACTGGATATGAACTTTCGTTCTTTTTCGTATGTAGATAGAGAAATTTAAAATAATATAATATTTTTTTATACCTTAAATAGTATATAGTGATGCTATTTTTATCAACATTTTTGGATGTAAATTTTATACAGTAACGCGACGTCAAAAATTGGCGTGTGCCAAATAGAGGCACCACACAACTAATTTACATGTAAAACAAAAAAATTAAATGTAAATGAAATATATGCATTGTAAATTCTATTTACGTTCAAAAATATATCGATGTAGACAAAAAATTGCTTTGTAACTCAGATGCAATCGGATTTTTAACTGATTGTAACTAATTTTACAATTACACTTGACGGTTAGTAGAATAGAATAGAATAGAAAATCATTTAATTAAATAAACTTACATTGAAGCACTTTTGAATAGTCATTACATTTTTTTAATCTACAGTTCATTCGGAAAGCTGTCTCATCAAGTTAGTAAGTTCATCGTACAACATGTCGAGTTTGCATAATGAGAAACACGTGGAATATATATATATAGATTGCAATGTTTCTATAGTTATAAATTATGAGTTATGACATAAGATATAATACCAAGTCTATAATTTAAAAGCAACTTGCCCTAACTTAACGCACGCATACAGTTATTCTCTCCTTTCTTCGTAATAAAATACAGTATTTTTTTAAGTTTCCTCACCAGAAATAAGAGCTATTAGCATTTATATGATATTGTACCTTATTAAGAGGGTAATTTTTTTTAATTTGATACAGTAATTGGTTTTTTTTTTATAATTAATTTAAATTATAAGCACAAACATTAACGTTTAAATGTTAAAAAAAATTGTCAAATAATAATAATCTATTCTCAATTATACCAGAGACTTTTTTTATATTCTTAAATTTTTTAGAAACTAAATACGAAGATAACTTAATATTATTATTTCTGTGTTCATATATCACAAACATTCAAATCTTTCCTCATTATACGTGTAACACTTCAGATAAAAAATATAGATCTACCAACTCACACGAAACCTTATTGAATCATAAACCTAAACCTTGCTCAGAAATCACTCTGTTGAGATCGATAAAAATCGCATGAAAATCCATTCAGTAATTTTGAGATCATCGCATATACATAGTCAGATGTAGCGGGGGATTTTGTTTCATAATACGTATAAGTATATCTTAATAATATTATAAACGCGAAAGTTTGTAAGTATGGATGTTTGTTACTCTTTCACGCAAAAACTACTGAACAGATTTAGATGTAACTTTACAGTAATATAGCTTATGCATCAGAAAAACACATAGGCTATACTATATATTGAACTTGATATAATGAAATTTAACGCGGGTGAAACCGAGCGCGCAAACAGTGCACTTATAATTGAATTATCACTTACCTAATTCCTGTGGTTTTGCAGGCAAATACTGTCTGTAGGTGGCCGCACACGTGATCCCCAATATGGCCATAAAGTATGCAAGCCTCGACATATTTGTTTATTTGTATTGTATATCTCAAGATCCGGTATCAAGGACTCCAACTCAATACAATGCGAGGAGTTAACGTTGCAAACTTCGTTCAGCGACTGGCCAAATGACTAACGAACAGTTGTTTTTATTGGTGACACACGCTGTTCGCATCTCTCAACTTGTTTTTAGCATTATCTAATTTCTTGTTCTCATTACGTATGATTTAACATATTTTTCTTTTTATATTAACGGCTTCGGTAGTCCAGTGGTTTAGCACGGTGTACATCCGATTCGCGGGCTCGATTTCTCACACGGTACAAACATTTTTAGCATGAGTATAACTCTTTGTATCGGCCTGAGTGTTTCGTGTTATATTATATATGCATTTACAAAAAAAGGTATATATTTATGTCAATAATCTCAAACACAAGCTCTGCTTAGGACTAGATGGCGTTATGTGAACTGTCTAGGGATATTATTATTGTATAAAGGACTATAGACACCCCTCGGTTTCGCTCGGGTGCTCAGGTGCTCATAACTATATGTATATATTAGCATCTTACTAAGATATACTATTAAAAATTCATCTGCATTCCTCAGTCTCACTTATTACAGCAGCCAAACGGCTGGTCAGTTTTGATAAAATTTATATATGAGCACACGAGCATATCAACACAAGCTTACAAATAAAATAAAATATTATCAAAATCAGACCATATAGAAAAAAGTTAGTGTAACAGGTAACACAACAAAAACAATTCGGGTCGAATGCTCCTTTTTTGATATCGGTTGAAATATAAAATTTTTCCTCTTTATTGTTTAGATGTAAATACAAGTATTGTTACATCGAATCTGGCTGACAGCAAATACGTTATCGGCTTTTCCATTCCCACTAGAGAGTTAGTCAGAAATTTCAATTGTCACAGAGTAATTTAAATTCTGACTAACTCTCAAGTGATGGAAAACCTAGATAACAAACTAAATTACCCGGAAAAACAGCCAATAGGTTCCTGGCTTACATATATATGATATTCCTTAAGAGGAAAATAAACTGCTCTGAACATGTTGTTAAATTTAATAGCAAATCCTGATAAACACAAGAAATCTCCACAGTTATACTAATTGTATGATTACACGGTTAATTGTTTATCACCCATAATTTGCAAAAACATGTCATTCAACATCCATAAATTATAGTCCACTCCTAACACTAGAGTATACCGATAGAGAAATCGCTATAGAAGATTATTATATAAAAAAAAACCTTATAAAAAATCCCCACTGTAAAACAAATGACGTTGAACTGACCCGACGTCTGCTCTGTTGGGTTTCCCAGTTTTGTTATTGTTATAGATTTGTGAAGAAAAAGGATCAGTGCTATTGATCAATTTGTTTTTTGTGACAATGTGCAAATTGAATGAAAATGTGTAAATTTTAAAGTAATATATACATGTGCATCCAATATGGTAGACAGATGTACCTCTGATTAACTTTTATTTGTCAACTAGTTACGATGTATACGTATTATGCATATAAACCTTCCTCTTGAATCAATCCATTTATACCTAAAAACTGCATTAATATCCGTTGCATAATTTAAAAGATCTAAGCGAAGATCGGAAACGACTTTATTTTGTACTATGTAAAGATAATTTTTAAGTACATTTTTAGCCGACCATAGTAGACATTACAAAATCCTAACCTATAGATATATATTTTTAATGGATAATATTGGAATGGTGCACCTGCCTGCGCTATCGGTGCGTTGGCACCAGTGGCGGATGTTAAGATGAGTATGACCTGACCTCATGGTCAGGTCAGTTAGCTCATCGTGACAAATCCACCAGGCATATAAGAATGGTTTATAGGGTTCCCCATAAATATAAATCGATACATTACTAAATGTTGAGTAATTAGACCACATTACTCACATTCCGTTTTTCCTCTAGCCTACGTTTAAATTATGCCTATAAATATGGAGAGCTTTTATTTATTTACATTAACAGATATATACGCATACACATTTTATAAGACAATATAAATTACAAAAAAAAAACAGAGTATATTAAAAAAGAAGAAACAAATACAGTATATAAGTCTCAAGATAACATTATGCCACTGCCTACCTACCTATATTATTACTATCTATTACCTATTGTGAAGGATGGAGACAAAGACGACGAGCAAAGAAAGCGGCACCGGTATAGTCGTAAAATATTGTGTAATTGACTTATATCGTATAAAAACAATATAATATTATAAAAAAAACATTAATAATACCTATAGTCATAATTAAGGAAAGTATATAGAGATGTGAATGTAAAATAGATGCTAAAAGTGATTAAATAAAAAAGGTAAAAAAGGAAAGTATCTATTTTGAAATACACTACATTCTCCCTGATTGAATTTAAAAATGAATCTGTATTTTTATAATCATTACTAATCATATACAAGCTTATTTCAAAAGAATAAGAGCTGAGTTCCTTGTCAGTTCTTGTTAACTCGACGCGACCTCACGACTCCAGCAATGGCGCTAGTAGGTACTCCTTATTGTTTTTAGTGCGTAAGAATCCCACACACATTCTCGTCCTACCTGATGATCAGAGTATTGCTTCTAAAGATTTTTCCACACGATAAAAAAATGGTACTCACGCAGACGACGTAGTTACAAAGTCTGCTGTTGTAAAAAAAATATAATAAATTGTTACACTTACAAAAGATATATTGTAACATTATCGTAAATAAATATGATAGCATCAGTCAGTAGGTACCACTATGTAACCGGATTTGGATTCCAGCGTATTATAAATGCAAAATGTCGCGCACAGATTAATCATTAATGTCGAGCAATCATTAATTCAAGAGTTTAATGTATTAGTTCAGTATTAGAGTCGTAAATAGTCAAATACGTAATTTGATGATCCAAAGTACATTGTACGTGATTCACTTAATTACGTAATTGATTAGTTTATATTCTTATTTGATAGATTTTTAATTTGGAGAATAATAAATAAACACCTAAACATATACAGCGTCCTAATGTTGAATCCCTAAATAAGTAGTTCATGTACAAAACCATGTTATCATGGTCCATGACCATGTTCATGCGCAGGATTTTCATTTAAAGTTAGACCTTTAAAAATAAAAAGAAAACAAATTAAATTCAGTTGAGTTTCTTGCCTTAGTCTTCTTGCTTCTCCATTGACTGGACGGTAGGGAAAAAATTATAATACAAAAAAATTTGGTGTTCATAAGCGGCTAAAATGTCCTACATGAATAAATTATTTTTGATTCGATTTGCTTTAAGTACTAAACATCTGATAGATATATTAATTAAACTTTTTATACCGCGCAACATAGTCTATGTCATATTATCACCGTTTCTCCAATAGTTTTTATTAATGCACCTCTCCTATTAGTCGTAGCGTGATGTTATATAAACGTCACTGCGTAGTATAAAACAAAGTCGCTGTCGCTGTCTGTCCGTCCCTATGTATGCTTAAATCTTTAAAACTACGCAACGGATTTTAATGCAGTTTTCAGCAATAGGTAGAGAGATTCCAGAGGAAGGTTTGTATGTATAATACATGTACACCCGTGCGAAGTCGGGGCGGATAGTTAGTTCTCGGTAAATGGAAAAAAACCAACATTAAATTTATTGTTCAATTCCAGTATAATTTCACTAGGAATTATTCAGATTAGCTAAATAGACTATACTACTGTGAAACGAGTATTTTTTAACTTCTAATATATACTCGTAAAATTCTCGTGTTTTTAACAAAACTCGTCCGAAACAGCTCGACCTATGCTTATGAAACTTTGTGTATCCATTCAGTAAGTTTGAAAATAGAATATAAACTATTTTTCATACCCTTAAACTATAAGATTTGTCGTCCCTAAAAAAATATTTTTTTGTTTTTTAGACATAATTTTTTATACCTATCATTTTTTTTTTATATAAAAATACCTTAAAATTTGACCCTTCTACCAAACAATAAAAAACATTCCATACACAACCGTGTATGTGACACACACACGCACACTTTACTATTATTGCTTCAAACTGGTTCAAAGATATTTTTCTATTTTTTATTATGATTTCCACCGATAGTAAACAAAATTCCGTCTAAATGTATTAGGTACAAACATTTTTCTACTTCTAAAAGTCAAATGCAGCGTCATGACCGTTTACGAACGTTGTTTACATCCGAAATGATGAATCACCATATAAAACCCACGAGTATAGCATTCCATAGCGGCGCCCGGGCCCGGCCGCGGGCCGCGGCTTGTGACCGCGCCGCGTCCTTCTAAAGGCCGTCCACAAACTGGATCCGTACGAGTATAATATATTACCACTTACGATGTACAGCAGGCCTATACTGAAGCCTAATCTCAATACTGACTCCAATCCTATACAGTTTTATCACATTAATTAATTGATTCATAATTTAAGAGCTACGCTCTTGTCGGTGGAGCTCTTGCCACTTTCCGCGATCTTCCATCATGCTGTTTAAGTCTTGATACGACACGACTCCCATTTTGTCCTCAATTTGTTTGATGTAGCTATTCGCTGTCGCTGTCTCTCCGTCCCTATGTATGCTTAATCTTTAAAACTACGAGGAGAGAGATTCCAGGTTGGTCTTCCCCTCCCCCTCTTTCCTTCTATTTTCCCCTCAATAATAATTTTCATGAAATCATCGTGCCGTATCAAGTGCCCTAACATTTTTCCTCGTCTATTTTCTATGGGGTGTCTTTTTTTCTTTTACCCTGTGTAGTACTTCTTCGTTTCTTACTTTATCCTTCCAGCTAATTCTTTCCATCCTCCTCCAACACCACATTTTAAAAGCCTCCAGTTTGTCTCTTTCCTTTTGATTTAATGTCGACGTCTCACACAGTTTTATCACAGATAACATAATAATAATATTACAATTTCATATATATAGAGAGACTATATATACATACAGAACTAGAGATATTTACATGTAACTTATTGAATTTTTGCAGAATGGCATTGGATGACTTGAGTAATACGTACTACTTAAAAGTTAGTTTTCTTTTAAGTAATAATAATAATAATTTCAGAACAATTCACACAGCGCCATCTAAACCCAAGTTAAGCTAGCTAAAGCTTGTGTTATGGGTACAAGATAACTGATACAAATACATAGATATATTTTTTTTCGTAAATACGTACATATTATTTTTACATATATTTTTTTCTAAATGGTGCACCCACCTGCGCTAACGGTTTACGCTGTCAGGGCACCAGTGG